TAATCACAACAATCTATCTCGATACTCAAGCAGCAGGAATATTTCCAAACATGGAAACAAGGTAATTGACCTCTGGTACAACATTAGACGATACGTTTCACATCTGGGTAGACCACATCAATTAACAATAAAGGCCACAGGAACGAATCATATATCTACAAGAACAAGACGTTTGGCCGCTGGTGTAAATACCAAGCCATATTAACAATAAATCAGCTGGGCCACTAAGCCAGTCTTCGCTGCCAGCCCTAAGGCTGCCACTTTAAGGCCTCGACTAGCCTCTAGGCCTAGCTATGTGTGTAAGAGACCTCACCATATCCACGCTTCCTCATATATAGACTGACCTGTTGGACTCGATCTGATCCAGGTAATGGCCCTTCGTCCATAAACTAAAAAGACGTCTTTGGGCTGGCGAGGCTATTAAAACGAACACAAAAGCATGCTCACACCTAGGGTCCGGTCAAGCTGATCTCCGGCCGCAGTCCACGGCTGCGAATGCTCATAAATTATCTGTTGACCCTAAGACAGATCCCCGTGTCTTGAGAACCGGGCGGCATCTTATGGTCTATGGGTTGGGGAAACATTACCCCGACCCAGCTACGACCAAACAAAACAACAAAATAATTACAAAAAAACAAGCAACACGTGAACAGCAATAACATAACCAACCAACAGGCTTACTTAAGAATCAACCATAGAGTACAACCTAACATGCTTACTTAAGAATCAACGATAGAGTAGAAGCCAACACACACACACACACACACCCATATATATATATATATATATATATATATATATATATATATATATATATATATATATATATATATATATATATATATATACATTTTTTCCCTTCTTGCCAAGTTTGAACTGTCCGTCAGTTAGAAGTGCCCAAAATTTCGTTCGCTCATTTCGATCTAGACAGAGGAAGCAAGTATAATTGAATAAAAAACGTTTTAGTGACAAGTATTTACGTTAATAATGCATTAAAACTTTAAAGAAAAGCACGCATTTATTTGTAGAAAATTTAATGTCATATTGCATTGTCATCGGGCCTTGACCAACGTGTCGACTTTCAGTGAACTTGATCGGTTAGAAGTGCCCATTCGACTTAGGATTAAGACAGACTGACGGCTGACAGAGAAAGCAAGTTAAATAAAAGCATGCAAAAGGGTAATTGATAGACAATTTACACGTAGTGATTTATTAAACCCAAGTATAAAACTTAATTTTTTTTTAGCGCAATTTCCATTCTGGAGAATTGCGTTAATTAACCCGTCATTTCTGGATGGATGAATGGATGGATGAATGTGTGTCCGCAGCTTTAAGTCGAATCTCCTCCTTAACGAAGCAATATCGAGGACTAGTTCCAAAAGCAATTATGTTAAACAAGTTACGAAGATGAACATAGGCCATAAAAATTCCGGGTTTCTTTCATGGATTTCCCGGAAAAACCAAAAAACCTCGAAAAAATGCAGTTTTTTGCACATATCTCGGCAACCAGACCACTTAGCGACTTGAAACATGTACCAATCGATTTCTGCCATAATTTAGAACAATATTGCCGAATACGTTTTCAAAAATATCCTTTCGTTCTGTCACAAAAATTTAATTAATTAAAATTTGGACCGAATTAGTAGGCATTTTTATCCAACCACACCACACGCGTCATCACGTTCAATAGCTGCGCCATCACGTTCAATGGCTGCGTCATCACGTTCAGTAGCTAGGCGCGCAATGGTTTTTAGTCATGTAACTCTATTGTAAATAAAACATGTATTTTAACCAATGGTTTTACTAACCCTGCTCTTGATTTACGCTACGACAGAGCTATTTTTAGATAACATAAGGAATTAGATAGCTTTTAAGAATGACGGCTGGATTTGAGAGAATTAACTATAAAGTTTTTGAGATATTTTGTGAAACATTAGGCTTAGAGCGAGAAAGCTTTTAAAATAGAGAAACATAAAAAAGGAATGTAATTTACTTCCTGATAGGCACGAAAAATTAAACTGTGACTGTAAGGACATGTACATAGGTTTAAATAAAGCAAATACATTTACTGTAACTGTTGAATCCTTCAAATTATTGTAATTAAATGAAAGGAGATAAGACTGACGGTCTGTACGATATAAAATTACTATCAGTTAAATCTGATAATCAAACAGATAGGCAGATGTGTCTGTTAAACTGTTATGTTACATTTTATGTGCATCTAAATATTACAAAGCAGGCATACTTTGGCCAACTTTTTAATTGACCCTTTAGATTACACTTTAGCCTACATAGGTTTAGGCCACAGACGTATGTGTTTTTGTGTGTATGTGTGTGTGTGTGTGTGTGTTTAAAATGTGTTTTCAGCATATTTTATATACCACATTAATAAGGTCCCTGGCAAGCAAAAGCTTTCTGTTTTATACCCTTTGGCCAATGCAATCTCTATACTACTAAAACTCAACTTTGTTTACATTTTTGAATATTTATTTATTTGTCTGATTTACTACAGGAAAGAATCTGCCATATGTATAGACCTGTAAAATAGTATGTAGGTAGAGAACAATTTTTCTTTTCAGACAGACTGTTATTCACAAATTTATTTAAAGACGTTAATTAAATTACTGATTTATTCATTGGTAGATTAACCACATTAATGTTAAAAGTTTCAAACAATAGCTTTATTTTGACCGAATAGTGACGTCACATTAATTGTTTACTTTTTAGTACAATAAAATGGCGGCTTCTATCGAAGAAGATGGTGTTCCCATTCCAATGTTTAACTCGTTCTAAAGCTAATTTTCTGTCGGCTATAGCTTTAACTATACGTCAGTTTACTGTATTTATTACGTTCCAACACTTATATAAATTTTCAACTGTCTTTTTTATTTAGTTTTACAATAAATTTCTCTAGTTCTACAATCTGTCCAAGAAAGTTATTTATAGATCTAAATATCAGGTGGCCAAGAAAGTTATTTATAGATCTAGATCTAGAATCTAGGTCAAACCAAAGATTAATTAGATACAAAATAAATATAAATTAGATAAAAATACAATCCATTTTAAAATCAAAATACATTTTTAGTCCTTAAATGCTTGATATAAATCTTTGTGATTTATCAATCTAGATCTAGATCTATCTAGAATATGATTGTCTAATCTAGATCTAGCAAGAGTTACGCAAAAACTAGATTTAAGACTTAAGCAAACGAGTCGTAGAATCTAGATCTAGATCTAGATAATTTCAGACCTTCATTATTTTAGATAAATCTTTGTTTGTTTAGCTATGTCATTGGCTAATTTAATTTGAAAGTTACTACTACTAGACTTAGATCTAGATCTAGATAGGGAATATGCGCGTAAATCAAGTTGCATAAGGAGACTCAAAGTATTAAACTATACCGTAAAAAACATCAGTGACGTCACGAGTCTAAATAGCTAATTTGTTAGTGTAATAGGCTTTCATGCGGGTGGCACGGGTTCTAGACACGTCACGTCAATGTTAATTTTTTTTAATTTTTTAGATGTGAATGATAAAGTTGCCTATCTGAACTTGGCGGGATACAGGGCAGGTGATGTAGAGTTCATCCGTTTCTTTGTCCTAAGCATATGAAGGGATAGTGTGGTCAGAGACATGCTCGGCCGGAATCGTTTTTTTAAAACGATAAAAACATGTTGTCTGAGACTTGGCGGGACACTGGGCAGGTGAAGTAGAGTTGAGTAAGTCACCTGTGACGTCAGTATATGAAGGGATAGTCCGAAATCGGTATTTTTAAAAGATAAAAAACATCTTTTTGAATGTGGGATCTGGTTTTTTGTGACAATAAATGACAGACGTGATGTTTTTTTATGGATGACCCCCGAAACCCACAGTTATCCAGGGGATGACGGGTAGTCTAGTAAGTTATATAGTCGATGTTATGCCTAGAACAACTGGCTTTTACCTCGAACCCTCTATAAGAAAATAGGCAGTACAAAGAAATTACACGAGTTGAGAGGATATGTCGGACTACTATACTCTGTTGCGTCCTCTGGCGCCCTGGGTTGTGTGTGATTTGGCGCCGTCTTCAGTTTTCAACATAAGGTTGTAATTAACGTAAAGTTCAAAGAACAAAATAAACCTAAATATATTGTCATTAAAAAAAAAAACATTTCTAAAAATTGTACAAATTACTTCCGTTTAAGTCAAATAAATTAAAATTACATTGAAAATATTCAAATGTGTGGTTATGTTTGTGTTTGTGTAGTGTTTATGTTTATGTTTATGTTAATGTTTGTAGTTGAGGTTGTGGAGAAGGTTAGGGTTAATGTTGATGCTAATTTTTTTTTTTGTGTTTGTGTTTATGTGGTTATTTTATTAGGCTTAGAAGTGCGGGGAACGGAGAAAGTTTAAATTTATGTTTAAGTTTTTGGTTGAGATGGGGTTTTGTGTGTATGCTTAAGTTTATGTTTATGTTTTTTATTGTTTGTGTTTGTGTTGTGTTTGTGATTATGTTTGAGTTTACGTTTGTAGTAAGGATTTGGGTGTATTTTTGTTTGTTTATTTTTTTTTATTGCTGTGAGGGTTAGAGTTTATATACAACAAAATCCCGCGCGTGATAATCAATCTTCTTTACTAAACAAGATAACAATCAATAACTAATTAGCTTGTTTAAAATTAGAAATTTCCTTTTTTTAATTAGTATCGGCCACGTAGCTTAACGGCGTTTGACTAAGGAAACAATTCGGTCACCACAGCTTGAGAAGTCGAGTACGTTTTGGTCTAATCTCTCGCAAAACTATCTAAATCTTTTAGCAGTAGTATTTATATTAACTAGTCTAAACACATTGTTTTCGCGTTAATTTTCAGATTTTTTGGTCATAAGATTAATGCTCTGTAAGTTATTAAAAACGTGTAAACTGTTTTGTTATTTCTGTATTTTACAACACGTGAACAAAACAGATGAACACAATGCTTCTCGCTCTACTTGTACTGGCCATTGCTGGTCACCTTGTCAAGGCGGACTACCTAGATGACCAACGGGACTTGTCGGCAGCGACCTCTGGATTCTCCCAGAGACTGTACCAGAAAGTGGCACTGGGCTTACCAAGTATGGTCTACTCACCTTACAGGTATACCTTTGCTTTACCAGTTAGATTCTAGTTTCAATGCGTAGATTTTTATTTCGCGGGCGTATTCTATCTTACACGTAGACGTACCATATTTTTTAAATATATACTTTTTTCTTTGGAATCTAGATTTTATAATTTTAAACGTTGGTCTTGCTAAAGAAGATACATTCTAAATTTTAAAACGTCATTAGAAGTGCTAAACATTTTTTCCCTTAAATAAGGGCTTTGTACTTTTTCTGAAAAAAAAATGTTTCTATCAATTTATTTTTGACAACTTCACCTTTGTTGTTATAATAGATTTTTAAATGCTTTATTCTTAATTTAAAAAAAATAAATAGAATTTGATTGATTAATTTCATTCGCATAATCTACCTAGTTATGAGCTCCTTTCTAAAATCAGTATTAACTTACTCGAAAATGAAATTAAGTAAATTATAATATTTTTATAATTATATACTATTATTATATCATTGAATGCACAAAACGTTTATTTTACGCGTTTATTTTTAGCGTCCATTCGGTATTGGCAATGACGTCATTAGGCGCCAGAGGAAAAACAGCTACAGAAATGAAACAGGCGCTTGGGATTACATCTCTTGCTGACAATACTCATGAGATTTATAAGAAACTTATTTCGGATGTAAGATTACAACAGTTGCATATACGTTTCTATCAATTATTCACATAATCGAATGTATTCCTGTAATTTGCTTTCAAATAAGATACTTTACTCATTCTCTTAAACATAAATAGCAGTTTGGTTATTTCAGAAGAGAGCCGCACTTTTCAATTTTGATGCAACGCCAATAGTTGCATTCAATTCTTGTTACGTAATACGCCATTTAATTTAAAATTACAAAGTAAAACTGCCAAGTAAATTAATTAATTACAATGCTTTTTTTGCTTCAAAACACCGACAGATGAACTCTGTACCGGATGTGAAATTAAACACAGGAAACGCCATTTTTGTGAACCCTGCATACGAAATCGTGCCTCAATTTGTGGCTGATGTTGAGAGCAAGTACTTCGCCAAGGCTGGTAACATTGACTTGTCTGCCCCTGGGGGACCAGAGGAACCAATCAACACCTACGTGGCAAATGCTACAGGAAATATGATACAAAATCTCCTTCCAAAAGGTTTGGTATTGTCTGAACACCATCAGTAAAATTCAAAGAAGTGATATTGATTTTAGATTAAAGCAGTGGCGTCGCGAGGTCGGGTGTCATCAGTGTTTCTTCCAGACTTTTTCTGGCGCTTGATATTTTCGGGGGTGCGGTCTACATTTTCCGGGGGGACGGGGCGGGACGGACACTAGCAAAAGTAAATATTTACTATATACATTCAATCTGGTTTGGGGGCGGTAAACTTTCTTCGGGTTGGGGGCTCCAGGTGTGGGACCTCATGGTGTCAACCTCCCGAATACAATAAGTTATATATATATATATATATATATATATATATATATATATATATATATATATATATATATATATATATATATATATATATATATATGTTACCGAGTGTATTTGCTCGCAGTGCCAAATGTTACCGAGTCTATTTACTTGTGCTATCTTTGACCAGCACACAACATCAACCACAATACAGATACTCGGAAGTGCAGGTTTACATTTATCTCTTTATTAAATGAATCAATAGAAATGCTCCACATAGCAATGCATCAATGTTCCACAAGAATACAATGAACCAACTGACCCCCACTGTCCTCACTAGTCCTCACATATCAGAATACACGTGTCCATGGTTCAGGCTTCCAAACTTATTCTCACAACTTAAACACGTATCTACAGTTCAGTCTTCAACTTCTGTCTCAACTGTCCTCACAAATTACAACACGTATCTACAGTTCAGGCTTCAACTTCTCATCTGCTCTTCTGTCCTGCAGTCTTATTATATCCCCCGTATTCGTAATCGTTTCTATCCGTTGCATCATAACTATGAACTACGCAGTTCTGTCGTATCGCTTCCCAACTACGCCGTGGCTTTGTATTCGTTATCAGTCCACACCACCTGCATCCGTTGCATCAGCCCAGTTTGGCCTTGATCGTGTCTTTAGTTGACAGACTGTATTGCGTTCTTATCGTCTTTAGTAACTACACTAGTTACATATATATATATATATATATATATATATATATATATATATATATATATATATATATATATAGAGAGAGAGAGAGAGAGAGAGAGAGAGAGAGAGAATGAGAGAGAGAGAGAGAGAGAGTATAGAGGACAAATGCAGTATGTCCACTTTTTTGTCAAATCGATGTACATTTATATTGATACTGTCAATAATACGAGCTACAAGAACACTAATGCGCAGTCTAAGAAAACTAGAATGCAAATATTTTATAATTTTTTAAATATAATATTTTGCACTATTTTAATAAACCCATTTTTCTCGAGATCATGTTTTTTTTGACATACTGCGTTTGTCCTCTATACCCTCGATACCAGCCTTAAAAAATCCTAATTGTAAAGCACCATAACCTGTGTGTTTAGTAAGCCCTGGTTTAGGAGGTATATTACTTTTATAATAAATCCTATCCAAAACCAACCAAAAACAAAAACACACAATTAACCGCAAACATTACACAAACGCAAACACAAATACAAACGTAATTTTGTAATTATTTTTTCTCAAAACCAAAACAAAGTAATAAAAAGTAATTTTTATTCCCCCGATGTAAATGTTGTTTTTTAAAAGGGACGTAACAGTGTTTTCCTAATTTATAAAGGGATGTTATGAGTGCTAAAGAACTAAAGGTAAACAATTTAAGAAACAATTAGAGTTTTTGTGAATGATGATACATTTTCTTTAATTAACACTATAAGTTTGGAAAATGAATATAATTTTTTTTACATTATTAATTTAGATAATGAGCACTTTAGGTACATCATACTATGGCTATGAAGTCTATTTTTTCCCTCTCTTTCATAGGAATCATGGATCCGCTGTTCGCGGTCAGAGGTCACATTCAAAATTAATATATATATATATATATATATATATATATATAAATATATATATATAAATATATATATATATATACTAGGCATACTGCCTAGCTTCGCTTAGGTTTTCAAAAAAATTGAGCAATTGAATGATTAATTAATAGGTGATTGGCTGCTATGTTAAATGCTTAGGGCCTAAATTTATACAGTGCAGTAATTTAATGCTACTCATATATTGATGGAATATTCGCAAACTTATTACTCGCACGGTAAATTAGAACTGCAAGGGTTTTCTTAATAGTATCAATCAAATATTATAATGAATTACTTTCGCAATTAATTTTACAATTTGAGTAAAATGCAAAACTTAATTTTTAACAAAATATTAATGCCTGAATTATGTTCCAAGCGTGTAAAAAATTATTTGTGCTGATTTTCTCTCATCATACTGACACTGAATTTGAGGTATATAGTTGTTTTTAAATTTTGACTTATTTTTGATGATAATTACGGTATGTCGCGAAAACGCGACATCAGGCACTTATTGACCAAACAGTAATTTAATTTTTTTTTAGTCCAGGTCATTTTACTATTTTTACTGTCATGTGTTTCTCTAAATATCCATGCACAAACAATAAAATATCACAAACTGAACATACGGACTTGCAAGGAGATGTAGAATCACTTGCAAAACTCATGAAAACTATACTTTATTAGCTCAGGCATAGAGTTACATAACTCTGCTGCACCTGCTCACTGACTAACTCTTATGAATAGGTATTTTGATGTCTTGCTGTCGTAATTCTACTACACTACAGTAACACACTACATATGAAAGGACTTCCTTCAATGTGTAGAGTCTTAGACGTCCCCGGTTACGTAATTTTCGTGAACTCTTATTCAAGGTCAACTAATAAAGACGCATATTTCTCATTCGACCTATATTTGCTATACACACAAAGCACGTGAACAAATACTGTCCTAAATGACAGTGTTCAGCCATTGTATATTCGTCCATGCTCAATGCAGCTGCTGTGGGTATTTAGTGTCACAGCTGTGGGTACTCAGTGCCACCGGTGTGGGTACTCACTGCTATTGTTGATGGTACCCTATGTTTCCGATTCGTGCTATTGTTCTCGACTGATTCTGATATTGATTACCAATGACAATGCTGTAGCTACATATTGCCACTGGTATGGGTACTCAGTGCTGAAACAGTGGGTACTGAGTGTTGAAGCCATGTGTACTGAGTGCTGAAGCTGTCGGTACTCACTGTTGAAGCTGTGGGTACTCAGTGTTACTGCAGTCGGTTCTTGGTGTCACTGCTGTGGGTACTCAGCGCTGGAGCTGTTGGTAATCGATAACGTTGATGTGGGTACTCAGCCTTAGCAGTGGGTACTCAGTATCACCCCGTGAGTGCTCAGTGCTCAAACTGTGGTTGCTCAGTTTCACTGATGTTGGTACTCAGTGCTGAAGATCTGGGTACTCAATAACACTGCTGTCGGTACTAAATACCAGTATAATGCCACTAATGTGGGTATTCAATAGCACTGCAAAGCGTATGTTTGTCAGTACTCAACCTTACTGTATTTATTACGAGGTGTAGGTCTTTGCTCAGTGTTATTATTGTCAAGGTCACTGTGAAGACCTTTATTTGGTGGTATCCAGGATAGTGGTCCACCACCTCACTTCCTGTTGTCTATTATGTTCTTTATGTTCTCCTAATATTTTACAATACTATTTCAAAGCTAAATTCGTTATATTGTACCCAGCAACATGATCACATTATTCAAGCATCGCTCTCTCTCCATATGCCAATGTCAATGAAACAGGTGAACTCTACTTCACCTACCACATGGACCGTAATGTTCTAAAGTGCACTTTTAAATATAGGCGAAGACTATATTGTAAATTCTTTACTTATTTATAATCATACTTGAATGAATGACAGCTTGGCGATCCATCGTATTTCGTTATACCTGCTTGGCATCCACGTTCCATTTGTTGTCTAATTGCCGGATGTCGCGAAAACGCGACAAACCGTAATTAGTAGATAACTTCCAAAATTATTCTCATATGTGATTTATACTGTTTATATACATAAAAGAATGAATAATAAAGCTATTAGTATTTTTTGTAGCAAAAACGGATCACCTATTTAGTAATAATAATCAATGTAAGTAGGACGAATTCACGAAGTCAAAAAAGTTACGATGCGCGTGACTCAAGAGAGTGTGACGTCATAAATTTCGACTTGACCACGTGACCGTTGGTACCGATACAACCGTCTGGATGTACCCAATACACGACGACCGGCAGCAGTAGGATAAATCTACATATGCGCAAATGCTATGCGCTAAATCAGTATGTCGCGAAAACGCGACTGTCGGCGTTAAGGGGTTTTAAAACAATGCTATACTTTATGATTTTTGTTTTTTTCTTGAAAAGAGTATACAAAATATTTAAAAATTATTACATTAAAAAGTTAACCCCCTGTTCATAGACAAAATGACCAAATCTCGTATAATGAGAATTTCATTCGCGGTCATTTTTAGCCCTCTATGGGGGGCTTTAAGTCTGACCAACAGTTTTTCCATACGGCTTAGTCATCTATAGAGGTGTATACTAAACATTAGCCAGATGTAAAGTGGGTAAGTCCCCTAAAATCCGTTTTGAAATCACCCTCGGTTTTTCCCATAAAATACAAAGATTATATAGGGAAATACGACTGGTCAGTTTTGACCCATTTAACGAATTTTCCCGGACATGGCGAGTTTTTTGTGACATCCCGAGGCGTTCTCCTACCACCTCACAAAATTTCAAGGGGGGTCGTCGGAGGAAATTTTTTTTCGTAATATAGCCCATATAAGACGCCGGTCAGTCGAGGTCAGTTTTGACTCCGTAGACTTTTCGGCCAACCGTCACCGGCCGTCGTGTTCTATCGCCCCAAGACACCATCGTGCACTTGACCACTTTGCTTTATATATATAGATATATATATATATATATATGTATGTATATATATATATATATATATATATATATATATATATATATATATATATATATATATATATATTCAATGTCTCTGGATTAAAGTTAAGATAACAAATTTTATCCATTTGGGAAATTAAGTTGATGTCTACCCAACTTCGACGAGTAGGGCCTACTAGTACTGCTGGGAGGAAACAAATGTAAGCAAAGTGCTGACCACTGACTCGAGTGAATAAAACAGCTGAGGTCTTTTCCAGCAGAGGCGTCGCAAGGTCACCCGGTGCGGCAACTCATGTTGTAATTCCCCCGCCCCTCCCAGACGTTGATTAACGTGTCAGTTTTTAAAATTCTCAAGAACTTTTTTTTCTTCATGATGATTCAGTTTACGTCATGGTGGCAAGCCTCCATCCCCTACCCCCTTCCCCAATCTTGTTGGGATTTGTCAATTTCGCTCTCAATTAAAAAAAAAGTCTTTTTAACTCTATTTAATCATTTATTTAACTGGAATGATTGTTTTTTTCTATATATATTTTGCTATTTTTGGCTAGTTGTCACCCCCTTCCCTAAGTGGTGTCACCCGGTGCGTTCCGACCCCCGCCCCCCCCCCCCCCCCCCCCCGCCCCCCATCGCAAGTTTCAGGTCTGAGAAAATGTGAATTAATTCATGAATTATCGATATTTGCTTCCATTGAATGTTTATGCCTTTGGTTATAACAATTATTAGGTTCAATTGATTCAATGACCGTGATGCTTCTGATCAACACCATTTTCTTCAATGGAACCTGGAGATTTCCCTTCCCCAAGTACAGAACGTTTAGACGTCCTTTTTATAGTTTGGATGGGGGAATCAGCTCGGTAAGGTTTAGTGATATTTAAATTTAATTTCTTGAGATTAATGATTAATCTACTTCTTTGATCTTAATTTTGGTGTTGGAAGGGATCCCCTCCAACACAATTAAGTATACGTGTCAGCTGGTTATGCGCCATTGATGCTAGTATCTCCGATTTCAGCCTGCTTTTCTTTTTGGATTTGCTTCCATAACCTTTGTCCAACAAAGAACAAACTACAAGGCAGTAGTTGTTTGGTTTTTGAGTTGTCTCTCCTAGAAGAGTGGATGTCCCCAGCTAACGAGCCTCATCTGCCCGAGGGTTCGAACTCGAGACTTGTCTATTACCAACCATGAGCTTTACTGACTCGTCCACGCCGACCCCTTAATGATTAATAATAATTGACATTAAAATTAAATGCATTTAGTTAAGCTCAGGTGTTTATACATTTTAAAATAATAATATGTAAAAATAAATTAAAAAGTCAATATCATTTGTCAGATGTTTTTAAAGATTTACACTCACTAGGTCGACATGATGAGAGATGACATGACCATTAAATACAAGAAAGATAACTCTATTGGGATAGAGGTAGTCGAGTTGCCCTTCAATGGTGAAAGATTCCATTTTTACATAGCTCTACCAGAGAAGGTGAATGGTATCAAAGGTTTAGGTATGTTGTAGGTCATAAACAAAATTAAAGTAAAATGTGGCCAATCAAATGAAGAAAACATTTTTTAACATAATTTAATACAATCTGGTGGCACATTTTCAATTTGTTCTTCAAAATAAATGTCGCTACCTTTACAAAATGTGAAGTCACTATGTATATGTCTTGTTTCTAAAGAAAAATTTCTAGCAACGCCAGGAAATGTCGATACACTGTTCGGTGGACTTAGCTCTGAACACTTGGATGTCAGCATTCCAAAGTTCAAGACTGAGACAACTTTATACCTGGTTCAACCTCTGAAAGATATCGGCATGGTGGAGGCTTTCATACCTGGTTACGCCGACTTTACTGGAATCAGAAGAAAAGGTAAGCTGTTGAACAGGTAAATATAAATATTTAAGTTGTTATCTGTATATTTGGATGTCATGATCTGATTTAAATGCTACAGCCTTTAATAACTTGAGGATGTACATATTTATATACCTAACAACACAATGTATGATAATTTCAGACCTAGCCTGTAAACAGTAATTTTACATTGAAAATAATGGGAACAGGGCTTTACCCCCCCCCCCCCCACGTCAATTACTCCTCGCCCAGTAGGACATTACCCCCCGGTCATAGCTTAAGGTTCAGCTAGGGATAGAGCTAGAGTTTGAGTTTGGGCTAAGTCTAGGTCTAGGTCAACGGTTAGGGTTAGGGTTAGGGTTTGGGTTAGGGCTAGGGCTAGGGTTAGGTCTCGGATTAGGGTTAGGCTGAAATCAATGTCTAGAGTTGGGTTTGGTTTTGGGTTAACTTTAGGGTGAGGTGAATTCTTAGGTTTTTCGTTATTTTCTTAAAGTTAGAATTAAGGTAATATATTGGTATAGAGTTGGGGATAAAATCAGGATTCTATTTTGGAGAATGGGAGGAGGTGTTAATTCCCCAGGGGGATAATTGACAGGGGGGGGGGGGGTAAAATCGGGGGGGGGGGGTTGAATGTCCTGTAGCCGAAAATAACAAAGCGACTTAAAGATACTAACTTTCCACATAATTTATTGAAAAATAACTTTTTCGTACCCCAAAAAGGTTAAAACACTACATTCGCGCAGCAAGATATATATATTCATTTAACTGAATGAAAACACATTACACAAAAAATAGACTATCTATAAAAAGAAGATAAAATTCACTTTAAAAACAATGGTATCACGGAGATTTATACAAGTTCAAAAAATGCATTTATTGTAACCTGATCTCGGCCACAGGTGAAGTTTTTATCAGCCAGGTCATTCACAATGCCATCATTGACGTCAAAGAAACAGGAACTGTCGCTGCTGCAGCTACAGCTGTGCAAGTGAGAAAGCAAGTGAGAATGGCCTCTGTACCGAATACAAGATTTGTTGCTGACCATCCTTTCCTCTTCTTTATTAGAGACGAATTGACCCAACAAATTTTGTTTCAAGGAAAATTTTCCGGATAATTAAATAAACAGTGAGTTGAATTGGCATGTGTGGTTTTTTAAATTTATTTGCGTGCAAGTTTTGCGATGATGAGATTTGAAAATTTTTCCGACGCAAATGGTAAATAATAGTGTACAACATCAATCCTAATCTATTTTCAGTAAACGACAACAGTGGTAGCAGTATATATATATATATATATATATATATATATATATATATATATATATATATATATATATATATATATATATATAATGTTACGACCCCTCCCGGGGTTCCCATCCCCCGACCCTCCTCTCCCTTGGATTGTAAAAAGTAAAAATTTAAAAATAAACTGTCATTTGCATCATCCATCTGTATTTACAATAAAGCGTGAGTGATCTCCCCTAAGCTTTCTCGAGTATTCTTATATAACTAGATAAATGGCCCGTTGAGGAAGGGTACAACGGGCGCTAGGCTGATAGTGCTGTCTCTTTTCTCTAAACTAAAACTATCCCACCCCCCCCCCCCCCACACACACACCCCCACCCCCACCCCCCCACACACACCACCCCCACCCCCACCCCCACGCACACCTCCACCCCCCACACACCACCCACCCCCACCCCCACTCCCACCCCCACACACCACCCCCCACCCACCCCCACACACCCACCCCCACCCCCCAAAAAAACATGTCTACCGTCCCATTCAACGAAATATAATTATATACTTTTTCCAGTGTCCGCCCCCTTCCCGAAAATTCTAAAAAGATTCTAAAAGATTGTTATGAATTTTTTTAAGCCCAAGTATTTTGACCACTTTCTAAACAGGTCGATCGGTAGAATAACAAATTATCCTACTACGTCGTATTGTAATTATCGAATCCATCAAATTATAGCAACCGTACGAAGACTGACGTCCTGTACAATATAAAATGATCATCAGTTAAATCTGATGATCAAACAGATATGCGGATGTGTAGGAGTACTTAAAAAAATGATTAGCATAGTAGTCACCATCTAGACCAGGGGTCGGCAACCTTTTGAAGCGGAAGAGCCAAAAGTTACAATTTTCAAAATTTCCCTGATTTTAAAGAGCCATTAACATTTTTTTATTTCAAATATTTTATTTTTTATTAAGATTATTAGTATTTGTTCAAGGAGCTGGAGAGCCGCATCTTGATATCAAAATAGCCGCATGCGGCTCGCGAGCCGCAGGTTGCCGACCCCTGATCTAGACAATTAAGTTCAGTCTGAAGTAATAAGCCGCATAAAACACTGCTCATGAAATTTTGCTGTATTAGTTGTTTTTTTAATTAAACTTTGATGTTAAATTTTATGTGCATCTAAAGTTTATAAAGCAGCATACTTTGGCCAACTTTTACAATTCTTTTGATTACACTGTAGTCTACGTGTGTTTAATTCACAAAAGTTTTCACTAGAAAGAACAGTAGACATTCGGGCTTTTCATGAATCGAACATTCACTTGACACACCACAACATACACACGCCAAGGATGACGAGGTTTGTGTTAATAAGAATCAACCAAAGACAATATTTCACTTCCTAAATAAGCAAGATGCCGATAACATTTAATTGTTAAATTTTAATGTATTTTCATGTATGGTTTTCTAAATTCCCAACAGATAGTTTTTAAACACTTAATAACATTAGCTTATGGACATGTTAAGGGCTTTTTTAATCATGTATAATTAATTATATATGGCAACTTACTAAACTATTTTTAGTACGCAGCTTTGTTGTATTACAAACCGGTTGCTTTCAAACCCTTAACAAGGTTTCCTCTACTTGAAATGGTTCAGTTCATTTTCTCTTTTCTATAGTGTCGGAACTAACTACACATTTAAAATGGAACATGTAGCTAGTTCTTTTATGCTATGTTTACTCTTCTTCCTTTGGCGTTTTGACTGTGGTATTTTAAATTTAAATATAAATATTAATTTACTTGCTTTTTACTTTAGGTTGATTTACATTAATCGATTACTATTTTTTTTAATAGCTTGTCTACCGTCCACCGAATTTTATAAAATTTAGTGGTTTGGTTTTCTTTTGTTATACTGCACTATAATTATGGGTATTTATGACAGTTTTGTAAAACAATACATTTAATATCCGTTGTTGATTTTTTATATATTTTGTCATATTTTTATATATATATATATATATATATATATATATATATATATATATATATATATATATATATATATATATATATATATATATATATATATATATATATATAATTTATATATAATTTATACATATAATAATTTAAATATATGACACATACATGTGAGTGTATAGCGTTAATCACTGCAGACTTAATAGAAATGATGTTCATCTATAGTCTGTTAATAATATTGATGGATGTAGCATTTTTTTCTCTATAGTTAGCACTCTTACGTGATGGTGTTACCCATCCCCCTGTAATAATTGTCGATTTGTACTTAAAAGAATATTTAACTTTAATTAATAATTAATGGAACTGGCAAAAAAAGGCATTTTTCTTATTTACGTTTTACAATTTTTGCCTTGGGGTCACCCTTCTAAATGGTGACATAGTACTTTAAAGTGGTATTTTAACAAAAAATATTAACAGACGTATGCTTATATTTTTTTATTCTAATGAAATTTACACTATTTCATTTAAAAAAAAATAAAAATCTTTTCAATAAATTTTAGAATTTCTTTTTTAAAAATGCATTTTGATTTAAATGCTTTGTTTGAACACAAATTGGGGTGTTATTAGTTTTATAGAAAATTAAACTTAGTTTTAATTATATTTATAATAAAATATAGAAATTTTTAAATTAATATTAATAATGTCAAGTGAAAAATGTGTATTCGTTTATACTCACTGCATTTGTGGGTCTATCATAAAAAAGTGTCGAGTTACCATTTGCCATGGCCAATAGTCGAGCCTCTCTTACTTAGACAAGTAAACAGCATATTAACGGAGAAAGGTAAAATAGTCGGTAGACTAGTACTGTTTAAAGAGATGAGCATTTTAAAAAACAACATGTACTTTACATATTCAACTTAAAAATAAAATGATGAAAAAAAATGCATTAAAATATTTTTAATAACAAAATTTTATGTAAAAACAAAATGCAGTAAAAAGTAAAAAGTAAAAACTAAACTATTATCTTTATATATAGGCCTATATTTAATAATAAAATACTTGTAACTATATAAATTACTATAAAGAAAAGCGTTGGCCACTATACTTTTCTAATATTTAGGAAGAGACCCACGCTTTTGTTTATAGTAATTTAAATAGCAGTGTATTAAATATTTAAAGAATATTATTTATTTCCACTTTTTTTAGTGCATTATTGTATACAAGCTTGTTATCTAAACGTTGTTAATGCAATTTTTTTTACAGACCATTAAACTTATTATTTACAACGGAGTTGCATGATTAAAAACGGTTAGTATAAAAATTCAATATGTTCAAGCGCAAATATACAAAGATAATGGAAATATATGAACCTATTGGTGACTCAATAACTATCATGTTTTTAGCTTACTGACCACCCACTTATAGCAAGCCTACTTCAGCCATCCTATGAAAAACTTTGAAGCCTCGATTAACTCCAGCACTATTTCGTCTGTTATCACAAAGTATATGCTTGTATTCTTCTTAATTGAGACGATCAGAATCTAGAGTTGTCTCCCTCTTGCCACTTCTATACCCAGGTAGTTGAAATGTCTACGTTCTCAGTGCATCTAATGTCTACAAAAATCCGGTAGGTCTACGTTCTTAGTACATTTAATGTCTACAAAATACTGATAGACCTACATTCTCTTCACATCTAATGTTTACAAAAATCTGATAGGCCTACATTCTCTTCACAATCTATTTTCTACACACATCTGGTAAGTCTACGTTCTCTTTATATCTAATTTCTACACAAATCTGGTAGGTCTACGTTCTCATTCACATCTAATTTGTACACATATACAATTGATCAGTCTTGTAAGAGTTAGCCAAAATATGTATTATACAAGTCGAGTTCATAAAACAATAGCCGATTTTGTTGATTAGTCGTGTCCATCTTCCCTTTTTCTGCACACCCAGTTCCTGGAATGCTTCACCCAGTAAATGCCTAGATCAACTTTAAATATTTGATTTGATGATATTAAAATAGTCTGACTGTCGCTAGCGCTTGCTTCATCGATCTTATCTTTAAAAAGTCACGTTGGTTTAGTTTTTTTTACTCTTTTTTTCCAACACGAAAATTCGATTTTCTTTTTCCATTAATAGCTTGGTGAGTAGTTGTATGTTAGTTGTTTTAGGAGAGGGGAATTGCGTCTCTTCAGAGATATTGCAAACATTTACAAACAATAAAATATACTGAAGAAACGGTTTGAAATGTTACAAATATGTTAACCGTTTAAATTTAGAGAATACACCAATAATATAAAATGTGTCGTAAGCGGTAATGGCGTATCTTTGAAAATAAGACTCCGCTGAAAAGCATCGCCTTCTTGACTATTTTCAGAGGATAATAACAATAAAATGCCAGTTAAAACAGTCGCTAACTACGACGATGGTGAAACGACAGCCGTTTCACGAACAATAAATTGGTGATAAACCAATAGATGGTTTTAGCTTCTAATGTTGTGAGATAAAACCATTGTAATAAAAAAAAATACTTAAATTAAATGAAAACTGAACATTATGTGAGACTGGCTTCTTTTAATTCTTTATCTCCAAAAGGTTATCGTAAAAATCAAAGTAAAAAAAAACCTTGGAGACAATAATTTTTTTAGAAAAACTAAATCATCATCGTATGAAATATTTTTAGATGTTCTTATGGCAAAACCGAAAACACATTTGTATTTCGTTATGATCTCATTGTGACAGCCGTGTAGTGAAACACTTGAACGAAAATAATACTTCTTTATTAGAATAACTCTGATCAACGAATATAATCTCGTTTCAAACACCTAGCTACTAGTTGTTGAATAAAATAATAAACGGTAGGTCTCTTAACAAATCAAGCTAT